CACAGCATAATGAGCCCAACAAAACACAGACACACAGCATAATGAGCCCAATAAATACACACACACTGTAGAAAGGCACACAAAAGTTCATACCTTGAATAAAACTTTGTTGGTCTTAAAGGTGTTTTGTATTTCTCTTGTGTGATTGAGGCAGTCAAGGAAGGGGAGGAGCCTCAGCCAATGGAAGGGAAGAAAGTCTTGCCTTTGTCTCCTGTGCAATTGAGGGAGCCTGGCCAGAAAGCAAGCTCTGGCTTATTCCCTCTCTCCCCCTGGGGAGCCTCAACCAATGCAAAGAACAGAGGCTTGCCTATCTATCTCTCCCATGTGATTGAGAGAGTCTGACAAAGCAAGCTGCTATGCAGCAGTAGCAGAACTGGAAAAGGAAGCAGGAGAGAGCCAGTTGCTCATGGGCCAGATAGGAGCCCTGCAGGGGCTGGTTCTGGCCTGCAGGCCACAAGTTTGACTCCTCTGGAATAAAATAATAGCTCTTCCAATACATGTGATCACCATGTTGAGTGAACAGGGACAACCCACATATTTACCATGCATGTATAACTCTAATATGTGCACATGGACTATGGATATTTCAGGTTTCACATTCATATGTACTGCAGCTGCCTTACATGGTAAATACATGGCACAGCCTGTGTTCTCACAACATGGACAGCATGCATTCCTGACACATGCAGTTGGTAGGTTCCCAGTACACACAGCTGTAAGATCTGAAAAGTGCTAGTATAAAGATAATTGCAAAGAATTATTGCATTTCCACTCTGCCTTTCTTCCATCATGGAATCCAAGAAGGTATACATAGGGCTCCAAGGACACCCACACAGACAAGTAGATTCAAGTCCAGTAACTCCTTAAGAGATCAACAAGACTTTTGGGGTATAAACTTTTGAGAGTCAAAGCTCCCTTTGTAAGTTATCAGTGTTGACTCTCAAAAGCTTATACCCCAAATTTCTTGTGGGTCCCTAAGGTGTTACTGGACTTGAATCTTGTTGCTCTGCTGTAGACCACCACGGCTAACCCTCTGAAACCATCCAGACAAGTCCACTGCCTCGTGTTCTTTTCGACCACACTCTGAGATGGCCTTAGAAATATTTTTATTTGTACAGCTGCAGACGTTCTAAGGAAATTAGTCTCTGAATCCAATTTCCTGTAAGTGATTTCACTATGGAAGCACAAAAGAACCTTTTGGGATGTACACTTCTTGAAGCAGATAGTAGCCCGGGAAGAGAACGTTCCCAAACTGATGCCGAGGAGATGAACTCTTCTCTGGTTTCTGTCAAAGCTTTGTGAACTCTGATTCCCCTTTATGTTCATTAAACACTTCCAGACACACAGAGAGCTGCAGCATTTTCAAATGAACAGGGTTTTATTTGTGCTGTAGGATTTCAAAGCAAACACCACCAGCAGCGTCTCAAGCTCTTCTCTTTTGGCTGCAGTGTTTTGTGACCTGCTCCGAAGGATTTGTCAGACAGCGAGTCATTTGAAAGGGATTTTTATTTCAGTCGCTAGTCAGATGGGAAAGGATGTGATTTTATTTTTTTCCAAAGAACAGAGCCCCAAAAGCACTGGAAAAGGGAGGTATTTCTGCAGCCCGATCCACTGCACAATTACTCAGAAGTAAATGAGTGGGTCTTACTTCCTAGTAGGTGTGCACACGACTGAATTGCTGGCTTAGGGAATACTATACAGATACTTTAACCTCCAGCACTTCACAGATAAAAACAGAGGCGTGCTTTCAATGCCCCAATTCTCATGACAAGGATGATTGTCCCCCTCCCCCCAAAGAGTTGCCAACATCCAGGTTGCACCTGGAGACCTGCTATTACAATTGATCTCCAGAGAACATGATCAGCTGCCCTGGAGAAAATGGTCACTTTGGAAGCTGGACTCTACCAGCACTCGACCCTGCTGAGATCCCTCCCCTCCACCCCCCAAATGTCCAGGAATTTCCCAAGCAGGGGCTGGCAGCCCTACCAAACCTCCTCCCCTCCCCTTTACACATGGTGAAGCCCTTTCTCTATTCATTTACCCCACAATCGTTTGTCTTCCACCAGTTAATTAGGGGGGCAGGGCACTGTTTGTTTCCGTTAAAGACTGACTACTGATGGAACATTTTTTTTTTGCCATGTACTTGGAAGAGAATTCTTACAACGACAGATCAGACTTCACCCTGTCTCGAAGATGTAGATTAATAGGCATTACTGGGAGGTACTAAAACTAAGAAGAAGAAGAAGAAGAGATTGGATTTATACCCCGCCCTTCCCTTGGAGTCTCAGAACGGCTTACAAACTCCTTTCCCTTCCCCTCCCCACAACAGACACCCTGTGAGGTGGGTGGGGCTGAGAGAACTCTGACACAAACTGCTCTTTTTCAAGGACAGCTGTGCCAGAGCTTGCGACTGACCCAAGGTCACATCAGCAGGTGCAAGTGGAGGAGTGGGGAATCAAACCCGGTTCTCCCAGATTAGAGTCCGCACACTTAACCACTACAGGACAAGCGATTGCCCATAGGGAATACATGAGTGGACAGCGATTGCCCATAGGCAATACATGAATGCCAATAGAGAATACATAATTGCCCATAGGAAATAATGAAGAGTAGGCTTGCCCATTTGTGATGTCCTAGCGGCAAGGCCACCACCCCGGGGCTCAGGGAGGGGGCAGAATGTTTCACGCCTCCCGCTGCCGCCCGACAGTGGTGGCGGCCATAACTTTTTCAAGAGCTCCTAACGAGAGCTGGGGGAGCCAGAATGACCTCTCGCGTGTGATGTCCAAGCGGCGTGTGATGTCCGAGAGGTGGAATTTGCCCCTAGGAGTCCCAGGCCACCACCCCGGGGCTCAGGGAGGCGGCGGTACGTTTTGCCCCCCCCCACGGCCGCTGCCACCCGACAGCGGCGGCGGCCATAACTTTTAAAAGATCCCCTAATGAGGGCTGGGGGAGCCGGAATGACCTCTCGCAACGCCGCTTGGACATCACATGCGAGAGGTGGAATTTGCCCCTAGGAGTCCAAGGCCACCTACCCGGGACTCAAGGAGGAGGCGGAAAATCCCCCCCTGCTGCCACGGCTGCCCAACAGCGGCGGTGGCCATAACTTTTTTACGAGGGCTGGGGGAGCCAGAATGACCTCTTGCATGTGATGTCCGCGCGGCAACTCGGACATCACACGCGAAACGTGGAATTTTCCCCTAGGAGTCCAAGACCTAGGGAGGCGGCGGAACATTTCGCGCGCGCCCCGGCCATTGCTGCTGCAGTCCGACGGCAGCCATAACTGTTTAAAGAACCCCTAACGAGAGCTGGGGGAGCCGGAATGACCTTTCGCGTGTGATGTCAGAGCGGCAACACCGCTCGGACATCACACGCGAGAGGTGGAATTTGCCCCTAAGAGTCCAAGGCCACCACCCCGGGGCTCAGGGAGGCAGCGGAACATTTCACACACACACCCGCGGCCGTTGCCACCCGACAGCGGCCATAACTTTTTAAAGAGCCCCTAACGAGAGCCAGAATGACCTATGGGCAATATTGCCTATAGGCAATCATGGATTCTCTGTTGGCAATTATGTCCCTATGAGCAATCATGGATTCTCTATTGGCAGTTATGTACTTCATTATCCCGTATGGGCAAGCGTCCGCTCCATTATTCCTTATGGGCAGTCATGGATTCTCTATTGGCAATTATGTACTCCATTATCCCCTATGGGCAAGTGACCTCTCCATTATCCCCTATGGGCAGTTATGGATTCTCTATTGACAATTATGTACTGCACTATTCCCTCTGGGCAAGCCTATTCTCCATTATTCTCTATGGGCACTCATGTATTCCCTATGGGCAATCGCTGTCCTTAGTTTTAGTACATCTAGAGGTCTTGCAGTTTCAGGGCCAAACAGAAAGGAGGTTGTGGTCTTTTCTTTTTTAAGGTATTGTAAGCCGTCTTGAAGGATTGCTGAAAGGCGGGAGGGACAAGTTTTAAATAAATACTCAAAACTCCCTCGGCTCCTGGTCCCAACCGCTGTGCCAGGCTGCCTCTCAATCTCGGGCCATCCAGTCATCTTAATTCTGCAACCTTTATTTTGCCATCAGGTTGCAGGCAAATGATGGCAACCTGCATCTGCCTGGCAAACCCTGGACTTCCTTGGCGGCCTCCCATCCATCTACTAACCCGGGCTGGCCGTGCTTAGCGTCCAAACCCCGATGAGGACAAGGTAGCTGGGACTGGCCTGCTGCCTGTACAGACCCTTCTTCTTCTTCTTCTTCTTCATCATCATCAGTTGATGACGTTGTCGCTTGCCAAAGGAAGGCGGACTTTGTTCTCGCTTCCCCGCTGAGTCAATCCGGGGGAATGAGAATTCGACGCCGCACCTTGGGGGGTTGCGCTGAAGGGGATCAGCAAAAAAACCCAACACAACCATATGATCAGGCTCGGTCCCTCCTCTCTCTCCTCCCACCCCGACAGTCTTTCCAGCCGCAAAGCCACCTTCCCTCCTCTCCCCCCCGAGCGTCTGTTTTGGATTTTGCTCCCAGAGAAGCAGGCGGGGCTTTATCCAAGGCTGTATTCTTGTCGCTAAGCCATTGGCCGAGGCTCATGCCAGTCCTCGAGCGTCGCCCGTCCCGCGGAGCTTGTGGAGCGCCGCTTGCGGGAGGCCATTGGCCAGAGACGAAGCTTCCCGGGGAGCAACAGGGGCCTTCCCCTTCGGTGACGTCAGTGGGGTTCCCCGCCTCCATCCCACAGCTGGAGAGGCGTAGGAAGAGCCCGTGGAATTGGGAAGGGGGGAGGGAGAGACTCCGTTTCTGGCTTTTGACTGGGTGGAAACCTTCGAAGCAGGCGCCCTTCTTTGCAGCCATTGGCTGGGAGGCGGAGGAGCTAAACTTTTGGTGGTGGCGGCTGGTGGGAAGGTAGCGGCTGGTGTTTAGTCTCAGTTTGGAAGCGCTGCGGGGAGGGTCCGTCACTGGCTTGAGGACGAAGTTCTGAACTGGAAGACGAAGTGGAATCACGGGTGTAGCGTGGCGATCAGCTGGGCTGGTTGCCCTTTTGACAGCTCAGCTCTGCGAACGGGAGGACCGTGGCTGGGAAGTTTCCACACTTACGAACTATTGTCCCTTTTTGGGGAGGGGAGGAGTCAACGTGGAGAGAGTGAGGACCCAGGGGGGGTTGCCCGATGGAATAGCGGTGCTCCCTTGGACAAGAGCCTGAATCGAGGGTGTCCCGTCCCCGCCCCGCCCCCGTGTAGATTCCCTGACTAGGGTTGCTGTGGTTGTTAATCGGCCATGGAGATGCTGGAAGGCGGGGAGCAGAACCTCTTGCAGTGGGATCGAAAGCTGAGCGAACTGTCAGAACCGGTGGACTCTGATGCCCTGCTCTGCAGCACGGTGAGAAACGACAGCACTGGGATATGGGGTGGGAGTGGGGTGTGTGTGTCTCTGGGTTCTTGGTATGCTAATCCCCCCTCTTGTGAAAAAGAGGCAACGGCTGTTGCAGTCTAAACTTTGAGAGGGGATGGAGTGTCTAACTCCTATTGGGGTGAGTGGGGGAGCTTTGGCTCCTGCACATCTGGCTTCAGAGAGTTTTCCTCTTCTCGGGCGCATGGGTTCTCTGGGAGGAGTCTCTTTGAAGTCCTGCGCCTGTCTGGAACTGGCATCTGCCCTGCCATACCCTGTACTTGGCTGGGCTGTTTGTTATGCATTCTTTTCCCACTTGTGGAGCAAAAGCAACAAAGCGTTCTCTTAACGCTGGGAAGTGAGCGGTGGGCCAGATCTGAGTCTTGAGCACGGAGGACCTCTTGGAACAGTTGAAGCATTAAAAATGGAGGAGAGTTTGGAATTTCAGCTGAAGGGGAAAGGGGCTGACGCAAGAAGGAAACGACTTGAATGCTCATCTGGCTCTCCAAGGCCTTTGTAGAAATCTAGTGGCTCTTTGCATGTGGTGGAAACTTCATTTTACCCCAGTGGTTTCTTGGGGTTTTTTGGGTTGGTTTTTTTTGCATTTTAAAAGTAGGACTCTTCCTGTTTCTTTTCAAGAGAGCTGCTGAGTAACAGTTTTGATTAGGCTTTTCCTTCCTGGCCAGGCTTATATTAAGTTGTCAGCAAGAAGATAGCAGACTTTGCAGACTTAGGTGTAATAAGGTTCTTACTCTTTGTGTATGCTGCAGAAGCACCCAAACTTTGCACATCTGCCTCCTGGCCTCTTTCCATCTCCCTCCCTCCATTTGCTACTGGTCCACTATGAAAAACAATCTGGAAGAATGAATCTACCTCCCAAAAATATTTACATGGTACCATCATGGAAGGAAAAGCGGAGAAAACCAATGTTAGTAATTTGTGCCAGATGCTTTATTTGCTTTTCCCCTCCCCTGAAACAGCAGACCAGTAACTGTAAAGTCTGAGGGTTTAATGCCTAATCTTACTCTGGGCTATCAAACATCTAACACCTAAGGCAGGGTGACTCAAATCATGTTGAGATTGCCTTCTTTCCCTGAAGTAAGCCAAGGGATTCTTTGGGGAGGGGTGACAATGGACTGGAAGATGAAGCACATCTGGAATGTGCAAAATGTCTTTCCTCTCTGAATGGAGCCCAGAGAAAATGTGTCTTTATCCATGAGGATATATTTGCACAAACAGAATCTCTAAGTATATATTAGTACACATTAATGCCTTCTAGCGATCCTAGTGTGCCTCAGACAGACAGAAGCAAGATACCTGAAGCCCTGGCACAAAGTATAATTCATGGAAGCTATACATAAAGATGTTTCTGAGAGCCCTGTAGCATAAAACATCACTTCTGGACCTCCTGGGAAAGAGGATGAGCATCAAAACTGTTAGAATATGTAAGCCTTACTGGCTCTTATTATTTGCCTTTATTTGTTTACGTTATTTATAATCTGCCTTTCTCACTTGGGCTCAAGGTGGATTACACAGAGTGAGTCAGTACAGTTGGCAGATGGGACATTCAGTAAGCAATGCAATAAGATTAGGGTTGTAGAACCAACCAAAAGTCTAAAAACAACCGAAGCAAAGCATAAGTATTAACATGACACATTAAAGGATGCAGAATTCCATAGCAGGATCCTAGTTTCCACAAGCTATAGACCACAGTCCCTAGTAATTTTTCTAAGTGACTTTGTTGAATCATTTAGTACAATGCTACCCTGTTGCCTGCACAGAAAAGCCCTCTTGAATAATTCAGTTTTGCATAGTTTTCAGAAAGCCAGGAGACTGGAAGCCTTCCTGACCTTTTTAGCCAGGCTCTTCCACAAGGTGGGGGCCCCAACAGAGAAGGCAAGGCATGTGTACGGGCAGTTGTTGATTTTGCCCATTTGCAGGCTGGCACCTGCAGAAGACCCTGCTCAGATGTCTGAAGCTGTTGTGACGGAGCATAGGGAAGAGAGGTGGTCCAAGGCCATCAAGGGCTTTGTATGTGATAGCCCTTGAAGTGAAGTGCCTGCAGGATGGGAGTAAGATGCATACCCCATCTAGCTGCCAGTAATACCTGAGCTGAAGCGTTCTGCACCAACTGGAGTTTCCGAATTGATTTTGAGGGGAGACCAATGTACAGTGCGTTGCAGTAGTCTAGTCTTGATGTTACTTTGGCGTGGATCCAGGTGACCAGGCCAGCCATATCAAGATAAGGCGCCATCTTTCAGGCTAGGCTGAGGTGCAAGAAAGCCTTTTTTAGCAACTGCATTAACGTGCTTCTCCAATAATAAATTTCTTTCTGTTCTGTCTGATGAAGAAGGGAACAGACCCTAATACCAGAACAAGGTGTTCCAGCACAAGGTACCATCCCTGTATCTAAGAGTCTAGGGCTGGCACCCATATGCATCAGCAAACCTGCATAACAGGGTATGATGTAGAATTCTTCAACTAAACCTGGGCTATGACCTTCCTGAAAGTTAATTGCGATATCTGCATGTACCCAGACATATCGTTAAAAAGTAATAATAAAAAACCCTGGCCAGAGGATTAGATAGATCCTCCATGAATCTATCAGTGGCTACTAGCCATGGTGGTTGGGAGGGGGGAACCTCCACATTCAGCGTCACTAGACCTCTGAATCCCAGAGGGCATGTGGAAACATAGTGGTGGCAGTTGTGGGTGCCAGGAGTAGGGGAGGAGGGGAGGCTGGCCCTCGGGGATGTGGAGGACCTGTTGAGCAGGGGAGTGCAAGCCAAAGTTGGTGTGGCAAGGAGAAGAAGAAGAGAGAAGAGAAGAGATTGAATTTATCCCCCGCCCTTCACTACCCAAAGGTGTCTCAGAGCGGCTTACAAACTCCTTTCCATTCCCCTCCCCACAACAGATACCCTGTGAGGTAGGTGGGTCTGAGAGAGCTCTTGACAGAAACTGCTCTTTTTTCAAGAACAGCTCTTATCAGAACTACGGCTTGCCCAAGGTCATCCAGCAGCTGCAAGTGGAGGAGTGGGGACTCAAACCCGGTTCTCCCAGATTAGAGTCCGCGCACTTAACCACTACACCAAACTGGCTCTCAAACTGGAGGAGGAAGCAGGTGGACAAAGGGAGGCAAGCCAATGCAGTGAGGGGGCAAGCAGGCTGAGGCAAACCAGAGGTGGGCAGTGGGGGTGGGAGGAACTTGAGCTGGTGACAGGGAGGGGGAAATTTCCTCTGCGGTGTGGTTTCTCGTGAGTGCCTGCTTGTTTTGCCTATTGCTTATCTCTTGTGTTCTGTACCCACCATGCATGGGTACAGGGGATTTAATTATTTAAGAGAAGCTCTCTATGGTCAAAGACCATAGTGTTGCACTTGTATACTAAATTGTGCCTCAAATGGCTAGATGTTCCACAGGAGAGGCAGGTGGGCAAAAGATTGTGACAGAGCAGCTAGATCTCACTTGGCCCTTGAAGGCAGCCTGTCTTCCCTTGGCTGGCAACATGAGGCACAGTTGTACAGCCTCAAGACAACTGCTTCAAGATCTTTCCATGTGGTGCGTGTAACATTCTTTCTAGGGAGTCTTGTAACAGGATGGTGAAAGCTTGGCTGCAGGTGAAAGCCAGAATTATGCGTCAGGTGTAGTCTTGCGAAATGTCTCCAAGGGTAGTTTTTATATGGGAGTGTGTTGTAGTCTGTGCTCAAGACGGCAGATCTGCCAGTGATGGCAGCTAGGACTCAAGCTGGTAGAGAAGCATGTAGCCGCTTTACAAGATGGAGTTATCAGAAAGCTCTCCAGGATTTTCAGTAGTTGGAAGGGTACCTGGTTCCATGGTAGGACTCATGCTGACGTGCTGTCTCTGGCATTAAGAATAGCAGGGCTGGAAAAAAGTAATGGCTTGAGACAATGGAGAGTTTAGATTCTGGATGGACAAAAGGAAATAATTCTTTACACAGAGAGTGATTGAAACGTGGAATTCTCTGTCAGAGGATGTAGTGATGGCCACCAGGATAAACAGCTTTAAAAGAGAATTAGATAGATTCTCCATGAATCTATCGGTGGCTGGTTGGGGGGAATCCTCCGCATTCAGAGTCACGAGACCTCTGAATCCCAAAGCCAGGAGGCAACATCAGAGGAAAGGCTCCGCCTCTATGCCCTGTTATTGGCTGTCCAGAGGAACTGGTTGCCCACTGTGTGAGACAGGATGCTGGACTAGATGGAGCATTCATCTGATCCAACAGGGCACATCTTATGTTCTTATTAGATTCTTATTAGAGTTACCTCCCATGGGGACAGATGACATACCCATGGTCTGATTCTGTATATGACACATTTTGTATGTTCAAGAATTTGAAAGCTCATGTTAACTTTCAGGCACACTGAAGACATGTATCTGACAGTGAGGGAAGGCTTTAAATGGGAGGTTGGATCCCTGTCCTGCAGTTTACAAGAGACCAGTGACCATTATTACCATAGATGGCTTTCCTGTACCCATACCCAATTTGCGTATACCAAGATTGTGGGGTTTGGATCCAGTGAAGAGGAAAGATGGCTGTTCCTGGATTGCTTCATAGCTTCTCACATGAGAATACGATGCAGACAAGATGAAACAATGAAGCTCTTTCATCTCCACCCCCACAACTCTCTGGCTGCATGATAACAACAAAATTAATGGCGGTGTTCTAAGGCAAACCTGTAAAACATGCTGCTTGTTGCCCATTTGGCTTCTGAAAGATCTAACCTCCGTCAGGCCTGGTGCACAGATGCAGGGAAGTGTGGTGGCAGGAAAAAAGACTCTTATCTCTTTTGGCTTTCTATGCTGGCTTTCTGTTTCTGGGGGCTTCTAGCCTAGCAGTGTTGTAAATGCCGTCCTCTGTGATTGTCTGTCTACAATATCTTGTGCTACAGTCCATTCAGTCACTGGAGTTCTGTGCCGCCTCATTCCCCCTTAGGGTTGCCAGGTGCCTCCAGTCACCAGTGGGGGATTGGG